CCCCCCACCCCCACCCCCAACATTTCTTATTATTGAACCTATACTCACCTGTGGATATTTAAATCCCCAAAGGGTGCCTAGCCCTCTGTTTAGCATTTGAGACTGTGTAGCTAAGCACAAATACTGTCCTCAAGTCATGGAATCTAGAAACTACAAGAGACCTTGGAACTCCAATTCCCACCTCATCTTTATTTTACAGATGAGAAAATTGAGACCTGGAGAGGTGAAATGACTTGCCTATATTCTCCTACCCCTCCAATTTTACATATGAAGAAACTTAGACATTTATTAGCTTTATAATCTTTGGTAAGTCTCTCTTGGTCACACAACTAATAGGTATCTGTGTTTCTTCAGTTTTCTCATCTGTAAAATGGGGATATTATTCCTCACAGGGTTGTTGTGAGGCTAGAATGAGATAGATAAAAGCATTTCACAAACCTTAAAGTATACTGTAAGTTATTATTATTATTATTATCTCTCCCCTCCCCAGTGCTATTATAAACATTATTCTAACCATAGAGTATAGCCAGGATGGTGGGGGAAAGTGCTCGAACATCATAGATGGTTCATGCAGGGCATGAGGTCAGGGAGAGGCTTGAAAGTAATAGCAGTCTGGTAGGAAGAAGCTTGTGGTAGGTACATGAGAGGAAAGTCTAAATTATGGAGATAAAATTGAGGTAAGCATCATGAGAATCTAGGCCTAAATGAGGAGCATAGTGGATCTGTGGTCCTTGTAGGATTGTTGAGAGTTAGAAGGGATCTCATGGCCATGTTGTCCAACCCCCTCATTTTTACTACAGCAATAAACTGAGGCCCATGGAGGTGACTTGTCCAAAGGATTTGAGTCAGAGGATGTGGGTTTGAGTCCCGGTTCTACTATTTACTATTTGTGTGACCTTGGGCAAATCACTTAACTTTTATGGTCTCAGTTTCTTTACTGGTAAATTGAGAAGATTGGACTGATCTCACCAATGTCCCTTCTGGCCCTAAATCTCCTTACCACAGGGGTCAAAAGGAGAAGTTATTTGAAAATTCAGATGTCCTTAGCAATGTAATATCCATGTGTTTTGGTGGAGGAGTTTAATATCATTTTATTCCCACTAACTTGAGCAAAGCAAGTCCAGATTTCAATTTCACACCAGTGGAATTGACTCATATTATTTATTTATATGCCTCTTTTGGTGAGCAATCTCAGCCTAAGGCAGGGGTGGCTGCTGACTGACATTTTTTATCTCAATGTCTGGATCCCTTCCCTGTATTATTTTGGTCAATTAGTTTATCTAGGAAGACCGTCCCTCCTCTGGGTTTGTGGAAAGAGGGACTCTCTGTTCGTGTGACAAATGACTGGCCTCAGTTGCTCACCTATTTGTGAAATATATTTCTATAATGACTAAGCTTGGAATTATATAGTTAAATAGTGGGAATAATGGTGTTGGATTGTACATGGAGGTGAATAGGTGGGTATAATAAGAAACTAGCTCTTGTCATTAATTTCTTCTTCCAATTTTATGTCTTTTCTGGTCTGAGTTTATTTTAGTAGCTGCCAACAGAGTTACCTTCATCATCCCCCAGGGCAAAGAGTGACTAAGGAACCGAGGACAGAAGTGTCTCTGGGGAGGAGGTTCAGGACTGAGTTGGGGGCACTAGTTCTCCTATCTCACAGATCATAAAACAGCACCTGATCTCCAACTTTACACTCTTAGAATGTTGCCTGTGGCACTGAAAAGCTAAGGGACTTACCCAAGGTAACTCAGCTAGGATATGTCAGAGACAAGACTTGAACTGATATCCTTCTGACTCAGAGGGTTTCTCTCTAGCCCTGTGCCACACGTTCTCTCATTTTAACCTTAAAACACCTTTATGTTGAGATCACCTTCTGCCGTCTTGGTAACATCTTGGAACATTCCCTATTCCCTCCCACTGCCATGCTCAGGCCTCCCCCAGGGCTAATAGTATTAAGGATGACACTTGTTAAAGTAAAACATGAAACCCCAAATGAGTGTGTTTCTTTGGCTCAGGAATAGCGTAAAGAACTTATTTCAATTCAGCAAACTTTCATTAAGTGCCTTCTGTATACAAGGAACTGTCCTAGGTGTTGGGGATATGAATATGAAAAAGGAAATAGTCTCCTCAGGTGGCTTATGTTCTACTTCATGGGATATGATTTGTGTGTGGTGATAAGAATAACATCAGCTAGAGAAGGATGGGGCAAAGAAGAGAGCAGACAAAGAACTCTGGGGATTCTGAGGAGGAAACAAACAAACAAAAGGCTAGAGGGAGGAAGCCTTGAAGCTTAGGAGCCAAGCCTTGGAGGAAGATAAGAGATTCTGCAAGGCAGAAATGAAGAGAGAAGGTATTCCAGGCACAGGAGCATGGCCCATGTGGATGTGTGTAAGGGGGAGATGGGGTGTGTAAGGGGGAGATGGGGTGTTCAGTTGGGCAACCAGCTAGATGTCTAGTTGGGCCACAGTGGAGGATGCGTGGAGGGGAAGATGGTGAAATTCAGCAGGTAAGGTATGTTGGAACAAGGTTGGAATCCCTACCTTCCCTCAGAGATTAGCTTAAGCATGTCTTCCTGCAGAGGAAGCCTTTCCTGATCAGCCACCACCCTTCACCCTCCCAGCTGCTACTGCCCCCTCACCAAAATCATCGATCACTTTGTGTGGAGATAGGGACCAGATATCAGATTTCATTGATACTACGAAGTCCAGGATGAGGAAACTCCCTCTTCCAGTGCAGATTGACACCTTCTTTGAATGATATTTTCTTTGCAATAATAAAGTCTCAGAGAATTTCCCAGAGGTCACACACTCAGTATGTGTCAGAGGCAGGATTTGAACCAAGGTCTTCCTGGTTCTAAGGCTAGCTCTCTACCCATAATTCCACACTACCTCTCATATGTGAGCTTTTATATACTTTGTATATACTTATGTGTACACATTGTTTCCCCCCAATAGAAGGTGAGCACCCTAAGGGCAGGAATTATGTCATATTTGTTTTTGTATCCCCAGTGCTGAACACAGTGGCTAACATGTAATTGGTTCTTGATAAATGCTTGTCAATTATTGTATTTTTTTATTTCCTAAAACTATTTTATTTTTTCCCCAATTACATGTAAACAATTTTAAACAGTCATTAAAAAAGATTTTAGTTCCAAATTCTCTCTCTCCCTCCCTTCCCCCTCTCATTGAGAAGGAACATATTTCCACGTTAGTCATGTTGTGAAAGCAAACAGACCAAAAAAAAAGGAAAAAAAAATAAAGAAAGTTTAAAAAGTATGCTTCAATCTACATTCAGACTTCATCAGTTCTTTCTCTGGAGGTGGATAGCACTTTTCATCATAAGTCCTTTGGAGTTGTCTTGTATTGCTGAGAGTAGCTAAGTCATTCACAGTTGATCATTATACAATATTGCTGTTACTGTGTACAGTGTTCTCCTGGTTCGGCTTGTTTCCTTGATTGATTGTAGATGTCCTTGAATGCCATAATTCTCAGGCAAAGAGGAACCACATTACCTTTGATCCATGTCACAGCAATGGGGAGCACCCTATCTACTCCAGCTTGAAGAGAGTAGGTACAGGGTAACATGCTTCCTTCTATCAGCTTCATGGAACTTTGTTCTCTACGTGTACAAAAAAGGAGTATCTTTTGGTGTTATAAAACCAGCAGTGTGCCTAGCAGTCAGTCAGTAAATGCTTGTTGATTGTTTCCCCCCGCCCCCCCCATCTATACAGTTCCATTCATCTCTTCTCCCAAACCAATTCATTGGCTGAGATAACCAAGCTTTCAATCTGGGGGTTGAAGAGGATAGAGCATTCAGCTTCATCAACGTTGTGCTTTGGAGCTCAGTAAATTTCAAAGTTAACAAGATGATGGGGCCATGACATTTCCAAAAGAAATGCAGTTCTAGGAAATCCTTCATTAAATTCCTGGGAGCTCTCAGCACCCACATGTTTAAACAGTTGGCATTAGGTCAAGGAGAATTCTCTTCCTGTGTAGATAAACACTAAGAAATGGAAAGACGTCTCCAGTTGCTCTGAATCATGATGTATCCTCATATCCCCCAGGAAGGTGTGTGCTATCTAATTAAATCTTAAAGACACAGTCTACAACACTGGTAGTGAGTTGGACTCAATCAAAAAGTATATATTAAGTGCCTACTATGAGCCAGACACTGTGCTCAATGCTGAGGCTAAAAGTACGAAGAACAAAATAGTCCTTGTTCTCAAGGAGTTTATGTCCTAATGGGGGAGAAAAATACATATACTACACATATACAACTTTCACAAGTATAATGTTCATAGAAAATGGCATGAAAGTCAAAAAAGTGAATACTGATACATTGAACCTATGGAAAATGGCAGGGAGAGGTTCTTTGACCATGAAGAACTGTAATATTCCATTAGAAAATGCTTGAAGTTGCGAAAGTTAAATGCTCAAATGTTGAAGATTGATTGTACATATACATATGTGTATATGTATGTGTGTATATATACATCTATGTATAGCTAATTTTACAATCTGTACAAAGTAATTAAATTCAAGCCAGTTTGAGTAGAGGGCATTAGCAGGTGGGGGGAATCAGGTAAAACTTCAGGTAGAAGATGGTGCCTGAGTTGCATCATAAAGGAAGAGAGAGACTCTGTGAGGCAGAGGTAAGGAGGATGTGCGTTGTTGACATGAGGGCCAGCCAGTACAAAGGCACGGAGACGGGCAATGGTGTATTGTCTAGGAGGAACGGAGAGCACAGTTTGATCAGGTCAGAGAGTGAGGGGTGGGGAGTAAGACAGGTTAGTCTGCTGCAATAATCGAGGTATCAGGTAGTGATCATTTGGACTAGCCCCTGGTGACTGTGAAGAGTAGAGTACAGGGGATGGATGCAGAGGAAGAATCCCCTGGACTTGTTAACAGTTGGCCCATTAACGATGAAGAGAGTCTTGTAATGCTGCTTCTCTTTGATTTCCCTCCCTGATGGTGTCTTGTTCCCTTTTTCCCTTCTAGGAGCGTGTGTGAAATGCAATAAGGGCGTCTTTGGAGCCAACCAAGCCTGCCAAGCAATGGGGAACCTCTACCATGACAGCTGCTTCACCTGTGGGGCCTGCAGTAAGTGTCTCTGTGTCCATCAAAGCTGAGGTTCCAGCAGGTGGAGGTTGGGGGAGAGCGAAGGAAGAGATGATCCTAGTCTATAAATAAAACTAATGTCTCTCTGCCCTTTCCTCTTGGCTCTTAATTGCATACAGGCCCTTGGGGGGTGGGGAGATCAGAAGACAAAAGGCCCAGAGCCTGAGTGAGGGCTCCAGACAGTCACAGAATCATGTCTTTGAGAGCCAGAAAGGACCTTAGAGATCATTTAGTCCAGCCCATGCATTCTATCACCGAGGGCCATAGAGGGGAAGTGATTTGTACAAGGTCATCCAATTGGGTGGTGGTGGTGGTGGTGGTACTAGTAGTATAGTAGTAATAGTAGCAGTAATAGTAGTTGTTGGTAGTAGTAGTACTAGTAGTAGTAAGTAGTAGTAGTATAGTAGTAATAGTAGTAGTTGATAGTAGTAGTAGTAGTAGTAGTATAGTGGTAATAGTAGCAGTAATAGTAGTTGTTGGTAGTAGTAGTAGTAGTTGGTAGTACTACTAGTAGTAAGTAGTAGTAGTATAGTAGTAATAGTAGTAGTTGATAGTAGTAGTAGTAGTAGTAGTAGTAGTAGTAGTAGTAGTAAGTAGTAGTAGTAGTAATAGTTGTTGTTGGTAGTAGTGGTATTAATTTCAAAGTCTGAAGTTGACTCTCACAGTGACATGTTGGTTCACTCAGCGTAGGTTCAACTTTGCCTCTGGGTTCCATGAAAGGAATGTCAATTTCCTTCATCCAGGAAGGATATTTGGGTCAGATTTACTGCAGTGCCTGAAAGTGACACTCTGGTTGTCGTTCAGACAGCTGATCTCCTTTGGGCCATCAGGATTCTCTTAGAGTCTGCTAGGACAAAAGCTTCTCCCCTGAGCACCCAGACTCACTCTCTTCTCATGATTTATAGAAAACTTCATTTCCAGTCCAGGGCTCAGGCAGCATGGTAAAGGAGACCAAGACCCAGGCTTGGAAAATTCACATCCTGTGGGATCCTGGGCAGATCACTTCACTTTGATGACTTGGGCAATTCCCTAGCAACTTACCTAATAAATCCCTGACTGTTTTTGGTCTGCTCTGGGGGGAAGAGCCCCCTCCTAGGAGGGAAATTTTCACCCTGACAAAATCACAAATCCCTAATGATATTATCATGGGACCATAGATTTAAAGCTGAAAGGGACCTTGGGGGCCATTTTGTCTAAACCTCTCATATTATTAAGAAGAAACAGGCAAAGGTCTAGTGGGGTTACACATGATTTATCCAAAGTCCCACAGAGGGCGAGTGGTAGAGCCCAGATTCGAATGCCTGGCCTTCTACCTCCAAACTCAGTGTTCTTGCCACGGCCTCCCTATCCAAATAATACTTATTATGGGTTTCATAGTCACTGCCAAAAGAAAGACAAAATAACAGTGACCCTAGGACATCACAGAGCACCTTGTTTTATACCTTTTTGACACATCCATTGTGCATTATTTTGTATTTTAGTTATCTTTTTGTAGATTATTCTTTTTTCTAGACTGTAATCTCTGTGAGGGGCCAGCCTGGGTCATACCTTATCTAAACTTTACATCTCTTCCTGCCTAGTACAGTATACTTATCACAGTAGGTGCTAGCTGTTGTCAGGTGAGTGACTCTAGCAATCTAACCCTAGATGTAGGATCCAGGTTCAAATCCTGCTTTAATGCTTGCTACATGTGTTGTCAAGCAAATAATTTCACCTTCCTGGTTCTCAGTTTTCTCCTCTCTAAAATGAGAGACTTGACTAAATGGTCTCTGAGTCCCTTTCAGCTGAAGAAGTGTGATCCTGTCTGTGAACCAAAGTAACAGATTTCCTGTACCTCTACTAAGGCAAATGGACCAAAATGATTTAATAATCCGTTGTCAAGGAGTTCCAATATTAAATTAGGAAATGTATAGGATCCCTATGCGATTAAAGCCACTCCCATGAAGGCATTTAAATTGCTGGCATGGATATGTGAAAAAGCATGTTATCCTTAGGTGTCTACATCATACCCGACTATGTTGTAGTCAGCAGCTCCGATGGGAGCTCTTCTCAACTGAGTAACTAATACATTTATTGAACTGATGGTAGTTGCTCTTCTAAAATACCAAAGTGATATTTATTGAATCCTAGCAAAATTATTCATTAGACTCCTGCTTATTACGCTCTTGCTTCTAAGCTCAATTGTCCGCTGTATGTGGGGCCATTACCTGTTTGACAGGCTGGTCATTCGGTCAGATGTTGGTAGAGCTGGGACAATGAGGATGACTTGATTTGCAATTGAGGAATGACAATAGATAAAGCTGTATAAGCTTCAGGAAGGATGAATTTGGCTTCTCTTCTGTTCATCTGTCTGTCTCTGTCCCTCTTTTCTCTCTCTCTCTCCTTCCTTCACTCCCTCTCCTCTCTCTCTCTCTGTCTCTGTCTCTCTCCTTCTCTCCCCCTCTTCCTCCCTCTTCTCTCTCTTCCCTTTCTCTCTCTCCTTCCTCTTTTTACTTTCTCTCCCTCTTCTCTCTCTCTCCTTCCTCCTTCCCTCCTTTTCTTTTTACACACAGACACACACACACACACACACACACACACTCTCTGAAGTGATTTTCCCTCTCACAGTGATCAAGTTCACACTTGCTATTTTCACTTACTAGCTGTGTGATCCTGAGGGTCTTCCCCTCCCAGATTAATTTTTTTTTTGACTAGATAAAGAAGTCATTCTCTGCCTCATTTCTTCCCTAGCCTTAATCACTGAACAGGGGCTGCCTCAATCAAACTGAGACCTGTTAAAGGCCTTAGCTTAAAAAGTCCGAGGACCCCCATGGCATCCAGGGCCATCTCCACTCATCCTGATCTGTATCTCTCCACTAGGCCCAGATGGCTCCAGAGGACAAAGTAAGCCTGGTGACTTTGCACAGCGCTCCCTCACTTAAATCTGATTCACTTGCACATCATGGCATCACCTTCCCAATGTCATGGTCCTCTTCAACAACGAAGGACAAACAGCAGCAGCCATTTTCAGGAATGTTGTTACATTGATTCCCCCTCACTGACAGCTCCTGAGGTTGTTTCTTAACATTTACCTGTGATTTCAGGACAAGCAAAGGATCAGACTAAATAAATGCTACTTAACAGCCCAGTAAGAGCTCCTACTCAGCTTGCTAGGAGAGAAATGAAAGCTTAGGTACAAAGGCCATCTATGGAGGAGTCGGCTCATTTCCCTCACATCTGCCTGCTCCCTTACCACGGCTTTCTCTTCTTTCTGTAATGGTCCAGGATGTCTCAGTCTCGCACAGAAGACTGCTGATGTCTAACCTAAAACGGCGATAAAGAGGATTTGTGGGTTTGTCCCTTTATTGAAGGGACATTGCCAGATTGTTCAAACCTTTGTTTTCCTTTTCCTGGTGGTATGTGGAAGTGGAGTCCTTTATAAAGACCTTGCAAGTCCTTTTTACTTGTTCTCTAGTAGGAAATAAAAAGTCACTGGTTACAGATTTCGAGATAGAAGAGACTTTGGAGAGAATCTGGTCCAGCTCCTTGATTTTATGGAGAAGACTGAGGCCCGGGGAGACTTAGGACCACGGCATTATAGGCCTAGAGCTGGAAAAGAACTCAGAGACCATGTGGTCCAAGCCCCTCATTTTACAGAGGAAGAAACTGAGGCCTAGGAAGGTTAAGTGACTTGCTGGAGGTCACACAGGTAGTAAGTGGAAGAGCCAGGATGTAAGCCTACTTCCTCCTAATCAGAGTGTGTTGGTAAATGTTTAACAACCAGCTCTTCAAGAAAAATGTACATGTGACACAATTTTAAATTTCATCTGCATTATTATTAACATTTTCTCCATCACTTTCTTTTTTTGTTTTGTTTTGTATTTTTTAGTGAGGCAGTCGGGGTTAAGTGACTTGCCCAAGGTCACACAGCTGGTACATGTCAAGTGTTTGGTCTGAGGTCAGATTTGAACTCAGGTCCTCCTGACTTCAGGGCCAGTGCTCTATCCACTGCACCACCTAGCTGCCCCTTTCCATCACTTTCTTAAATCTAGACAATCACCAAAATATAAATCAAGCCTGATTTATGTAATCTGCTGATTTCCACAGTGCTAATGGTTCACTCTGAGCATTTAACAATTGGCTACAAGCTGGCACCAGTACACCCCTGCTCTGGATGCCAAGGTAGTGCTCTCTCTCTCTTTCTCTTTGGTGCATCAGGTAGCCTTAGAGATATTAGTTTGGTTATACAGATGAGTTGTCATCTCACTTTTTCTTGTTTAAAGATAAAGTTTCACCCTCATCCCCAGTTGAGCTCTTCCCTATAAGAAGGAAAAGCATGAGATAGATCAACAGGAAGAGCATTTGATTGTGTGCCCTGCCTTCCATATCCATGCTCCTCTACTGTCTGCAGAGAGGAAGATTTATTTCCTTCTCAGCTCTCTGGGACTGTGATTGTTCCCTGTCTTTTATTGCTCACCAATAGCTAGTTCCTCTTTGTTTGAATTGACCTCCCTTTGTCCCCTGAGATTTGGTTTTTAAAGCAAAACCATGGCAACTCTCCCTTTTATGCTGTCCTTTGTCTTTACTGGTCCTTCAGAGTGTGTTTTGGGATTCATTGAATCATACATTCTTAGGGCTGGGAAAGAGCGTTTGGTCTCCTCCTGTCCCACTCTAGCATGGCACCCCCATTAGTGGCAGAATTGGGAGCAG